CCTTCTTTCAATCATCTTCCAAGAAAACAAAGTACTACTGTATTTGAACTTATCTAGTGACTTTTACTCTACGTTGTTGTTGTTGTTGTTTTCAAAAAAAAGAAAAAAAAAACAAGAAACCCTCTGCACTCTTTCCTTATGTAAATATGCTTCTCCTGTTTTTGTTTGTATTTTTTTTAAGTGTTTCATGCTCACTTACCTATATTACAAAAGTAACTTGGAAACACAGAGGGCTACATAAATGCGAGGTGTAAGGGATTATGTACTGCCATTTTGAGAACCCGTCATATAATCCTGCCTCTTTTCTTCAGTTTCCCTCTTTTTCATCAGATTATGCTCCTGGTATAAATCAGGCTCAGGACCAAGAACCCTGGTGGGACCAGCAAGAGGGTCACAGCAGGAGAAAGAAGAACAATTTCTACCAAAACATGTTACTCAGTTTCTTTCTCTCAGGAAGTAATAACAGGAATGTTTTCATTGTCTCAGTTCTAATGATTTCATACTGAAAGAGAAAAAATAAGTCACAAGACCAGTGATCTCCATGGCTGGATTGACTCCAAGAGATAAAACCTGTGGCAAGAATAGATAGGAGTTGAGTCATTGTGCCCAGAAGGTCTGTAAACATGATTCAGGAGATAATTCTCTCTGCTTTAGTGTGGCAGGGAGGTGTGGAGAAGGGTCCAGTAACACGTATTAACAGCGTGCAGTTTGGGGCTTTTCTTGGTTTAGCTGATTTAATCCTTACAGTAAACATCTGTGATAGGAAGCAGAGGCAAAGAGAGGTTAAGCAATTTCCCCAGGGCCACACAACTAAAATGCTGCTGTATTTTGCTTCAGACCTGGAAGACCTGGCAATGGTATATGAGTTTGGAATATTAACCAAAAATATAAAATTATAAACACAGGCTCCAAATAGTTCTTTATGCTTTGGAAAAGTAAGAAGTCTCATAAAATATAATCGAATTGTGAAAAATGTAAAATCTTCACTCTAGGTTAAAAAGAGGAATAATGGAAGAACACAAAATATATGCTACTTACATATGTGTTATAGTAATTTTATTTACATATATTTATATTTTAAAATATAGAATATAAAATTACTTTTATATATAGTATAATTAAAAGAATGTACATGGTCTAAATATATTTTGATAAAAAGAATATATAGTCTTCTTTCATATGTACACACACACAGAGACATATATATAATGGCAACATACAGAATGATAAGAGGTTTTTACCAACAATTGCTTGTAGCTAATGTATAACATACTTGAGAAAATGGCTTCTGTGAAAGACCGGTTAGTACCAAATGATCTGCCCCCAGAAAAACAGCCACCATTCTTGACTACATTAATAGAAATAGAATAACCCCTAAAGGGAGATGAGAAGCATTCTAAGCTGCACTGATCATGAGTTTCTATGTGATGCTTTGTGTCCATTTGGAGCTCCAGTGCTTTAAAGCTGAAATGAACCCTGGCCTTTCCACCACCCTCCCTGCCCATAGTATGGTATATCCTCTTATTCCTACTCTCTCACCTTATTGAGAGTTTAATTTCGAACCAGTTCAGCCAAAGAGGACTATTCTCTAGAAAATGAGAGAGAGAATGAATTAGCAGATAAATGAAGAGTGTGAGGGAGGCCTTGGGTGGTCCTAGGGCTGAAAGAGAGTTTTGGAGATGCATTCAGGGATTTGCTTTCTACCAGGTGGCAGAAAATAGGGAAAGATAAGAGTGTAAGGGGTTTGCATCTATGGAAGGATTCCAGATTTCCAAATGTATTGGCAGGAACAAAGTTCTTGTCATGACCCTTGATTGGAGAGCAGGGCTTTGAGCCAAGCCACAAGGGATGATAGAGAACAATTGATAGAAAACTCCATTCATTTCCTGAGAAAGTAATAGGAAAATATAAACCCACAAACAAAAAAAGTGACCTTCCCACGCTCCCAGAGAGGTAACAGAATTGACAGTGCAAGGAGGAATTTTCTAGCCTAAATCTGGGCTATAAGCACCGTACTTCAGTAAGGAAGTGGGAAATGGTAGCCATGTGTGAATTAAACAGCAGCTCAACACCATTTTGGACAAAAAATGGGGCCAGGATTTAAGACATGGTGTGGGCCGGGCGTGGTGGCTCAAGCCTGTAATCCCAGCACTTTGGGAGGCCGAGACGGGCGGATCACGAGGTCAGGAGATCGAGACCATCCTGGCTAACACGGTGAAACCCCGTCTCTACTAAAAAAAAAAAAAAAAATACAAAAAAAAAACTAGCCGGGCGAGGTGGCGGGCGCCTGTAGTCCCAGCTACTCGGGAGGCTGAGGCAGGAGAATGGCGTAAACCCGGGAGGCGGAGCTTGCAGTGAGCTGAGATCCGGCCACTGCACTCCAACCTGGGCGGCAGAGCAAGACTCCACCTCAAAAAAAAAAAAAAAAAAAAAAAAAAGAAGACATGGTGTGAAGCATCTGGTCAATTTCTTTGACCCGGAAATTCTAATTTCTGGAATGCATCATATTGAAAAACCCAGACAATTGTACAAAGACGGACGTACAGTGATATTCATTTCAGCATTGTTTGTAATAGTGATAATCTGAACATAACTTAAATGTCCAGCAAAAATAGGTTAATTAAACATTAAAATATGCCTATTAAATGTTGTCCTTGAAGAAAATAGCAAGATTATAAGTACTGACTGGGAGAGATATCCAAGATTTATCATTGAATTGAAAACCACAGCTACAAAACAACATGGATGGGGAGTGATGAAAGGATATTATGATCAAAGTTTAACTTCAGACTTTTATTTTGTTTATATTGATGAGTTTATAATATATAGATTTTTATTTTTAAAATTAGAAAACATACACCAAAAATTTAAGGGTATCAATGTGTAGCAAAGAAAAAAGCAAAAGGAAGAATCTCTCTCCCCAGTCGTTGCCTGAACGTGCTCTCAGGCAAACAGGAAATGAAGCAGGAAAAGGTTCCTTGAGACACTAGAAGGCAGGGGAGGGGTCTCCTGGGTACATTCTCCCTTCGCCTCCCAGTACCTCGCCTGGTGTTAAACACAGCTGGAAAACTGTTTCATCAAGCATTAGTTAGATTTTCATAAGGAGTGCACAACCTGCATCCCTCACATGGGCAGTTCACAATAGGGTTTGCACTCCTGTGAGAACCTAATGCTGCCACTGATCTGACAGGAGGCGGAGCTCAGATGGTAATGCTCAGTTACTGGCCACTCACCACCTTCTGTGCGGCCCAGTTCCTAAGAGGCCACAGACAGGTACTGGTCCATGACTAGGGGGTTGGTATATACAATATAGTCAAACAAAGTAAGCAGCAAAACAAAATTGGAAGCAAAGATGGTTAGATCAGAATGTTTGTGAACACCTTAGTGTCCATTCCACAAACTTCCTACTGTGTATAAAGCCACACTAATCAATGTACATCATTGACTAATGTTTATTTCCAGGTGTCTCCCCTGGAAAATCTCTACCACCAGCCATCCACTCCCCCTCTTCACACACACACAAAATGCCCTCCAACTCTTTTTGCTCATCCATAATTGCATCCATCTCAAAAGAGTATTTCTGAAAAATTAGTCTCCTCCAGAAGATTGCTGTGACCACTGTCCTCTGTCTATCATACTCTGCTCTGGTTCGTTTGTTTTGTTTTGCTATCACTGTTAGGGAATTTACTTTCTGTGCAAAAAACCTTTATTGGACTCCCAGTGTTTGTCAAGTAATGTGATAAACAAGAGTGTAGCAAATGAAAAGGCGCATGCCTAACTATAGCAGTTCACACTACAATACCATGCTATCGTGCTCCAGTTGATAGCAGTTCGCATGACAATATTGAGCTACTGTGCTCCAGTTGAGAACACACACCCCCTTCTATTGTCTCATTTACCAATAAAGCAGGAGTAGCTCCAACCATTCCATATGCTCTTCAGTTTTGAAGGGCTTTCCTCTCTCCATCTCTTTAGATGTATGTAAATTTAATTTTGCAATCAGATTACAAACTCCAGAAAGACAGGGACCAGGGCTTTTATCTCATAATAATACTTATCTTCCCTGTCATTGTGGGGGAATTTTAGCCTGTGGTGCTTGGCCTTGAGTGAGTAAGTGGTGGGGGCAGGGAGAGTCTCTGCCTGCATCCTTTTACTAGGCACAAAAGGAGTCTACAGTAGGGTGCAGCATCTGATGGAAAACTGAAACACCCTAGAAGCTTGGTTTGTAAGGACCTGGTGAAGCAGCTGATGAGAGAAGTGGAGCTGTCCCTCCTGTTGATTTCAAAAATATCAGAAAGTCATATACTTGCAGATAACACTTAAACATTTCCACATATTTTCTCTGACTACCCTTACCATCCTTTATATGACCTTTTTCATCTCCCTTTTACTCACCAATGTTTTCATGATAAACTATTTTTTAATTTTTTATTCTCAGAATCAAACATTGAAAAATATTTGAGGCATTCTTTGCAATGTTTTGAATAAATACTGTCTTTGAAGAAATGTTTTAAATAAAATCTATTTTTGAATAAATGCTCTCTTTTAAGGTATACTATTGACAATGTTTCCATTTGAATACAGCAGGTTCTGGGATAAACAAGGTAAAAACAAAACCCCCATCCCTTAGTGGCAGGGATGAGTATAAAAGACTAAATGTCAAAAAGAACCTCCCCAGAGGATGGAGCCAGGTGAATGAAGAGCAATGACTCAGACCAGGTGTGGTGGCTGACACTTGTAATCTCAGCACTTTGGGAGGTCAAGGCAGCAGATCACTTGAGGTCAGGAGTTCAAGACCAGCCTGGCCAACATGACAAAATCCTGCCTCTACTAAAAACACAAAAATTAGCCAGGCATGGTGGTGCGCACCTGTAGTCCCAGCTACTCAGGAGGTAGAGGCAGGAGAGTAGCTTGAACCCAGGAAGCAGAGGTTGCAGTGAGCTGAGATTGTGTCACTGCCCTCCAGCCTGGGTGACAGAGCAAGATTCTGTCTCAAAAAAAATAAAAATAATAAAAAATAACAATGGCTGGATAGTTCTTATCAGACAGCAAAATCAGGGTCTAATTAAGAAACTTCTGCCATTAGCAGGGAAGGGGATCTTCAAAATGTCTATCCAGCAGAATTTCATCATTGCTATAGATTCCTGACCTCTGAGATTCTTCCATTTCTTTTTTCAATTGAAAGTATTTATTATAGTTAACCTACCACAATACACATGATACTATGATACACATGAGTTATCTAGTCTTAACTAGCCTTTTGATTTTTTTTTTAAGCACCAGACCACAAGGAGTCACATACACACCTTTAGGTAGGACAGCGCTTTGCTCAGAAATCCCTGACCATGAGCTGAGTGCAATGATTCCTTGACTGTGGGTTGGCTCCCCTGGGAAAGGTCTGATTATGTTCTATGTTTGGGAAGAAGGGTATACTGGTTATTTAGGGCCAGAGTAGGATACTGTGGTGGAAACAACTCATGATCCTTCCAAATTAGTGTTTCCCCTTTAATATGAAGTTGTCACCAGGAAGCGGGCTTCCTATTTCACAGCTACATGAACTAACCTTCACTTCTCCCCAGGTGGGCTGTGAACTAGTTCTTCCAAATGGAATATGAGTGAATGTGATGTATGTCATTTCCAGGTGAAGATGGTTAAGAATCAGGTGTACCCTCTTTACTCTCAATTTCCAGGCTCTCGGGGATGGTAGAGTCACAGGATGGAAGAACTCTGTGTCCTTGGATCATTGCATGGAAGAGAACTGCCAGGTGCCCAGGAACAGCAGCCTTGGACAGTTATGTGAACAAGAAATAAACTTCTTTTACAGTGTCATTTATGTTTTTGAACTTCTTTGTTATAGCAGCTAGGCATATACTAATTCAGGGATTCTATGATAGCAATATTTCTTCTCTTTTGAGTAGGTTTCCAAACCTTGCTTTTCCACAATTCTGAAATTTTTTGGTTCTGGGATAAACTTTTCTACTCTTTTGGCAGCACAAAGATCCCTTTGTACAGAGGCACTAATTCTTCTTCTTCTGGAGTAGCATCCCAGTTTCTCACTGTGGCCAACAAAGAGAATAAAAGGAAAAAGAGGATCTGAAATAGCAACCCAGCTGCAGTTACCCATACCTGATAATACTATAGTCAAAGCTCCACATTAGAGAACAGACCACTTTCAGTAGAGTGACCTCTGGTCTTAGAAGTAAGTGGTATTCAAACATGGTAAAAGGTAGTGGTGGCAGTAGTACATAGTAATAACTAACACTTATTTGGCATTTACCATGTGCCAAGCACTGTTCTCAGAGCTTTATACATAGTAGTCCACTTAATCTCCATAAAACCCTATGTGGTAAGTACTAACATAATTCCTTTTTCTTTTTTTAGAGACCTAGTCACGTTCTGTCACCCAGGCTGGAGTACAATGGTGCAATCTTAGTTCACTGCAGCCTTGAACTCTGGGCTAAAGCAATCCTCCTGGGTAGCTAGGAGGACAGGCTCATGACACCATGCCTGGCTATTTTTTAAAACAATTTTGTAGAGATAGGGTCTTGCTATGTTGCCCAGGCTGGTTTCAAATTCCTGGCCTCAAGCAATTCTCCTGCCTCTGCCTCTCAAAGTGCTGAGATTACAGACATGAGCCACTGTACCTGGGCACAATTCCCGTTTTAAAAATGAAGAAATTGAGGCACAGAAAGGTTTCTAATACGGTTTGGCTTTGTGTCCCCACCCAAATCTCATCTCAAATTATAATCCCCATAATCCCCACATGTCAAGGGCTGGAACTAGTGGGAGGATTGGATCATGGGGGTGGTTTCCCCTATGCTATTCTCATGATAGTGAGTGAGTTATCATGAGATCTGATGGTTTTATAAGCCTCTGATATTTCCCCTTCTTACATTCACTCCCTCCTGCCACCTTGTAAAGAAGTGGCCTTGCTTCCCCTTTGCCTTCTGCCATGATTGCAAGTTTCCTAATCCCTCTCCAGCTGTGGGGAACTGTGAGTCAGTTAAACTTCTTTCCCTCATAAATTACCCAGTCTCGGGTAATATCTTTCTAGCAGTATGAGAACAGACTAACACAGTTTCCATCTCTATTACTTAGCAGCAGCTGTCAGATCCTGACCCCTTTTCTCTACCCATATGTAATTCCTCTTACTGCCCCCACTTACTCTTTTTTTCCCATTCACTTACCCCATATTGTCTAACTTATTTATTATTGTATTAGTCTGCATTGGCTGCCATAATGAAAAATCACAGACTAGGTGGCTTAAGCAACAGAAATCTGTTTTCTCACAGTTCTAGATGCTAGAAGTCCAACTTGGTTTCTGGTGAGGCCTCTCTTCCCGGCCTGGAGACGGCAGCCTTTTCTCTGTCTTCACATGGCCTTTCCTCTGTGTGCACTGAGAGAGAGAGAGAGAGAGATCTGAGGTCTCTTCTTTTTCTTCTTTGTATGAAGACATCAGTGTTATCAGATTAGGGGCCCCACCCTTAAGACCTCATTTAAACTTAATTACCTCGTCACAGGCCCTATTTCCAAAGTTATGTCGAGGGTTAGGGTTTCGATGATGAATTTTGGGAAAGGAGTGGGGAAGTCAATTCAGTCCATAGCAGTTAAGCTTATTGCCATCTCTCTCCTAATAGAATATAAGCTCCATGAGGACAGAGATCTTTGTGTACTGATGTATCTTAAGTGCCTAGAATGGTGTCTAGCACATAGTAGATTCTCAGTAAGTATTGACTTGATGAATGAATGGTGAATGAATGAATGAAACAAGCACTCCTAGTGTTCTAACAGGGATAAGGGTACATATTGTCCCAGCAGAAGTTTATTTAGGGGGGTCTTATTTCTGAATAGGACTATGGAAAAGTAAAGTCATTTACCCACATCAAGTTTCCACTCAAAGACTGCCCAACTGCAGTCTAAATAATTAATGTTGAAAAATGTCTTAGTCCATTTTGTTCTGCTGTAACAGAATACCATAGATTGGTAGATTGGGAGATTGGGTAATGTATAATGAACAGACATTTATTGACTCATGGTTCTGGAAGCTGGAAAGTCCAAAATCAAGGAGGCACATGTGGCCAGGGCCCTCTCACTGGTCATCCCATGATGGAAGGGTAAAAAGCGGGTGAGGGTGAGCAAGAGAAGGTTGAAGTCATCCTTTTATATGGAACTCAGTCCCTCAATAATGTCATTAATCTATTCAAGAGGACAACGCCCCTATAACCCAAATACCTCCCATTAGGTCCCACCTCCCAAAACTGCCACATTGGGGATCAAGTTTCCAACACATTAACTTTGGGGAACATATTCAAACCACAGCAAGAAGAAACGGTGTGTAATTAATTTTTGAAAAAGAATAAGAATGGGGAGCTGGCCAAGTGCTGTGGCTTATGCCTGTAATCCCAGCACTTTGGGAGGCTGAAGCAGGAAGATCAGTTGAGCCCAGGAGTTTGAGAGCAGCCTGGGGAACACATTGAGACCCTATCTCGACAAGACATAAAAAATTACCTGGGTGTAGTGGTACTCACCTGTGATCCCAGCTACTCAGGAGACTGAGATGGGAAGATCACTTGAGCCTGGGAGGGAGGTGAAGGCTACAGTGAGCTCTGATTGTGCCACCGCACTCCAGTCTGAGTGACAGAGCAAGACTCTGTCTGAAAAGAAAAAAAAAGGAAGAAAGGAAAGGAAAGGAAAGGAAAGGAAAGGAAAGGAAAAAAGAATGGGGAGCTATTTTATTAACCATATCAATATTTTTGAAGTTCACTTGGAAGATCATTTTAAACATGTATATTTGTAAATGAGTACAGAAGAGAATGTTATATAGGTGGGAACACACTGTTTCCAAATTATAGCCCATTGTGGTGATCAAGAGAACCCACTGTCTACCTAAGTATTCCTCTAATAAGTGTGAATACTATTGAACTAGTCATCACCTCTTCTAGGTGGACAAAACTACAGTTAAACATAGACTCGAATAAAAAAGAGGGTCGATTTTTACAAAAAATCTCAAGGAAAAGGCATAGAGTTTCATTTTATAGAAGTAAAAGTATTTTTGCCTACATTCAATATATTATTTGGTTCTCAGACTTTAGCATGCATTATAATTATCTGGAAGGCATATCAACACCTAGATTTCTGGGTCCCACACTGGAATTTCTGATTTTATCAGTCTAAGAATTTGCACTTCTAACAAGTTTCCAGGTGATGCTGATACGGCTGGTGGCCAGTTGCAATATGAGAATTATTGCGGTATACCATCTGTAGTTGATGTAACCCATTCCAGAAACAGGAAGCAAATCTATATTACATATAAATGAAACCTATTGTCCTAGGAAATATGAACAGGGCCTATATTCCAGGAAAAAGACACATATATATTTGTAGCAACCAGGGAAATCAGAACTCTTTCTAGTAAGTTTCATTTTCTCTAAATAGAAATAACACCAGGAGAAAGCTGGTTTTCTTTTTCAGTTGCTATTTTGCAATCACATTGCATGCAGTCTCACACTAGCCCAGCTACTAAATCAGCTGATGCATGCTGTGGTAACATTATATACAGGCACTAGCCATACAAATTTCTGAAGTGTGAATCAGTATCTCAACTATTTCAAAGCACAGTGGTAAAAACCTTTCTCTATGCTTCTCCCCAACCAGTACCTTTGTTCATAAGATTTTTAAATTCCTGTTCAATAGTTTTCTTGAATACTGAGTCCAAAAAATAAATCAAACCAAACCCACAGCATTTCTACTTTCCTATTTCAGCATTTCTTAAAAACCTAACATATATTTCTATAAGTACCTAATAGAACTTGTAAATAGAAGCCAGGCGCTGTGGCTCGTGCCTATAATCCCAGCACTTTGGGAGTACTTCCCAAGGCGAGCAGATCCCTTAAGGCTAGGAGTTCAAGACCAGCCAGGTCAACATGGCAATACTCCATCTCTACTAAAAATACAAAAATTAGCTGGGCCTGGTAGCTGTAGTGCCAGCTACTCAAGAGGGTGAAGCACTGCTTGAACCTGGTAGACAGAGGTTGCAGTGAGCCAAGATCTCACCACTGTAGTCCAGCCTTGGCAACAGAGCAAGACTGTCGAAGAAGAAGAAGAAGAAGAAGAAGAAGGAGAAGGAGAAGGAGAAGGAGAAGGAGAAGGAGAAGGAGAAGGAGAAGGAGAAGAAGCAGCAGCAGCAGAAGCAGCAGCAGCAGCGGAGGAGGAGGAGGAGCAGTGGAGGAGGAGGAACTTGTAAATAGAAAAAGAACTTGAAGCTCTTGAGTAAGACACAAAAGTAAGGGTTTCCAACTGGGGCAGGCTTAGCTGTGCATCCTAACCAAAGGGTAGAGACTTTTTAGGAAGGACAATTTCTTTTTCCTCCCTGCCCTAGGCGGAAAAAAATATGATAAATAACCTTTCCCAAGACTGAATAACCTACTTAACAACCTCAGTTTTGCTGGAGAATGTGTTCTATCTGTGCTTTGTGTAATTTTCTGACCTTAATCTTTGAGGTACTATTATTTTCTTTCGGGTCTATATACATGATTACTCCCTTTGTCACTAAGGGTATGAATAAGGAGAAATCAAGGGAAATACATTTCTTCTATCATTCCAAAACACTACAGTTGTACATTGTGATTTGGGGATGCCAAATACCAGGGCAACAAGCAGGGATTTAAAATATGGTGGGGATTCTGGTTCAGGATGACTGACTAGAGACATCAGACACCCACCCTCTTTAGAAAGAAGAACCAAAATTACGAATAGATAATTATACCTCGAATAGAACATCTAGGAGAGAACACTAGAATTCAACAGAGAAGTCATGGGAAACACCTGAGGCATAGAAGCAGCAGGAATCAAGTGACCAGCTTGGCTGAGATTGGCCAGGAGACCAGAGGGCCTTGGCTTTTCAGGGAAAGGGCAAATGAGAGAACTTCAGCAGTCCACATCCCTCCTGCAAACTGCGGCAATCTGAAACATGAGAGAGTTTCTCTACCCATACAAACTCTGGCACCAGTATGGGTGGTAATTTGGAGACCCCACAAGGGTATTTCATGAGACAGGAAACTCACGCTGGGTCTCTCAGGTCCCCAAGACCTAAGCGGCACCATTGTGAGACTATAGTCATGGAATTGTGTCCTATCCTGGGAACCACAGCCCCCATATCTCCATATCCCAGGAGCCCCCAGTGATATTTCCCAGTGTCCACCCAGTGAGCTACAGTGACATAGCCCTGGCTAGACCCAAAGGTAATACAGGGTCCGCAGCACCCCAGCCCACAGGGAGTACTACTCCCCAGGGAAAGAATGGTGCAATGTGCCAAAAAGACAGCCCCTGATACAAAGGAAACCAAAACATGTCCTTTCCAGAGTCCCCTGTTTGGGGCTGTGAGAAGTGACCCTACACTTAGCAGCACCACAAACTCTGTACTCAGCCTCACAAGTGGATAGTAAGATACCCTCCCACTGGTGCTTGGGCTTACATTTAGAGAGCGGAACCCCTTCTTGCCCTCCACACACTGCTGCAGGCACAGCCACTGATGCTACTACCAGAGGCTGGGGCAGGGAAACCAGAGGGCTGCCTGTCTGGTGCTGTGAGTGGTGACTGCACCCCCACTGGACGCATGGCCTCTGTGCCTAGGCTCACACATAAAGAATAGGGTCTCTCCTCTCTCTGTATAGTGCTGCGGGGTTGCTGTTATAGAGAATGAAAGAGCCTAAGAGCTGTGTATCTGGGGCTATATGTGGCAACCCTGCACCACAGCCACTGCCAACATCAGTGTGCACTTATCAGAACCCAAGGGGTTGTCCCACCGTTGGCTACTGCCATTGTCTAGATCACATCAGTTGCCCAGGGACTTGAGAACCCACTCACCCACCTAGCCCACTGCTGCAACTACCAGCATCTGAGCAAGCTATCTGGGGGCCCAGGAATTAGCCTACTTGGTCCCACTAACACCAGTGCCAGTGTATGTTGTTCTGGGGCCCAAGTTCAGACATCCTCAACCCACTGCTGCCACCACTGGGGACTGAAGACTGGCCCACATGGCAACCATGTTCCCAGTAAAATGTCACAATAGCCTCCACTAATAACCCCACCCTAAACCATCAAGGAAATAACATATATCACTGATCACAGCCAAATAAATTTTACAGAGACTACACTACCATGTACATTCAGAATCAAAGTCAAAGTGCCTTACTCAACCAATATTGTTGATATATCTTCAGGAAAAAGTCCTCCCCTACAAAAGCAAATTCAAAAACTGAAAGAAGTGACTATTATACTAGATGCTCAGATATCAGTGAAAGGGCACAGGAAGCATGTAAAAGCAAGGAAATATGATACCTTCAAAGGAATACAATTCCCCAGCAACAGATCCCAATCAAAAAGAAACCCAGGAAACCCAGGAAAAACAATTCAAAATTATGATACTAAGTACGGTGGCTCACACCTGTAATCCCAGCACTTTGGGAGGCCGAGGTGGGCAGATCACCTGAGGTCAGGAGTTCGAGACCAGCCTGGCCAACACGGTGAATCCCCGTCTCTACTAAAATTACAAAAATTAGCTAGGCATGGTGGCACATGCCTGTAATCCCAGCTTGGGAAGCTGAGGAAGGAGAATCACTTGAACCTGGGAGTCAGAGGTTGCAGTGAGCAGAGATCGCACCACTGTACTCCAGCCTGGGCGACAGAGTAAGACTTCATCTCAAAAAAAAAAAAAATACGCACACACACACACACACACACACACATGTATATACATGTGTGTGTATATATATGTATATATATAATATATACCCACACATATATATACATATGTGTGTGTGTGTGTGTGTATATATATATATATATATATAAAATACTAAAGAAGCTCAACAAGATACAAGAGAATTCCAAATCCAATACAATTCAAACAATACACAGATATCAGAGAAACAATTCAGGATATGAATGAGAAATTTGCCAAAGAAATAGATATCACAAAAATAACCAGACTGAAATTCTGAAACTGAAGAATTTGAATGAAATACAAAATATACAAAAAGTTTCAACAATAGACTAGACCAAGCAGAAGAAAGAACATCGGAACTTGAAGAAAGGTCTTTTGAAATAACCCAATAAGACAAAAATAAAGAAAAAAAAAGAATTAAAAAGTATGAACAAAGTCTTCATGATCTATGGGACACTGTAAGGTGACCAAATATATGAATTATCAGTATCCCAAAAGACAAAGAGAAACTGAAAGGGTTTGAAAACCTATATAATGAAATAATAGATGAGAACTTCCCAAGTCTAGTAAGAGATTTAGACATCCAGATACAGGAGGTCCAGCAATCCCCAATCAGATACAGTGCAAAAAGGTCTTCTCCATGGCACATTATAATCAGACTATCTAAATTCAGTGACAAAAAGAAAATGTTAAAGACGGCAAAGGAAAAGCATCTCGTCACCTACAAAGGAGCTCTGGTATACGTGACCAACAGGCATATAAAAAAATACTCAACATCGCTCAACTCCAAGGAAATGCAAAAAATCACAACGAGATATCATCTAATCCCGGTTAGTATGG